CTACTAGGAGCAAGGACGCTACTAGGGGCTCCTGGCATTGCATAGGAGCAAGAAGCTACTAGGGGCTACTGGCCTTACTACTAGGAGCAAGAAGCTACTAGTTACTAGGGGCTAGGGGCTCCTTGCCTTACTAGGAACAAGAAGCTCAATGGACATAGGGTCATGTGGATTCTTTTGGTCCAATGCACGTGAATCCTACTTCCGGATATCATAGGCATTTTGCTCTCTTGTGTGTGCAGGCATGTCTCCTGCAGAATTGCAAGGCTCAAGGTATGGTAAATAATGGGATGCAAAATTAAAGCCTTTGCTAATCAAATGTAGGTGTCAAAACACGAAAACATAATACATAGATTTTGAACCATATCTAGCCTGTGAGGAAAGGGTATGTCTTAGTAGAATATCTTAAAATGATAGGACCCCGAAGCAAATATATTTAGTCAATTTAGTCGAATTCGACAGAAGCAGATGCCTCCTCAAACAAGTCATTACCGGTTCCACCATACAACTGCTGGCCAAGGTTAGTGGTGGATATGATCTCGCTGCAACCTGGCGGAACATGGAGCGTCTGTGCAGTTCGATGTTTGCTTGGCTTTCTGGTCCAGGCAAGAGCGGCCTGGGAAATACTGTAATCACACATGAGTTGGGACAAGGAACATCCTCTACAAACCCAGAGAGATTCAGCTTCAGAACTTGGACCTTAGCATGTTGTTGAACAAATCAATCTTCTCGAAGAAAGATGTTCACTGAGGATCTTTGGATTTGGCCTTGTTTGCGGGGATATGTCATGGCTTTCCAACCGCAGCAGATTTGATGCCAAGGTTCTTGGTGGATCAAAAAGCTGCTGCTACAGTTGCTCGGACGCGTTTGAGACTTTTGAGGGGCAACACAACACCGGAGATACCACGAGAACATGTGCAGTTGGGCGTGTATTTGAGACTCCCAAACCAATGGGTTTTTAGTCACTTTAGTTTAGTCCATGTTCCTTTGTCCAGGGCTCTTTTGGAGGGTCACCCTGTTCTGATGCAGCCCCACAGGCCATGGACAAAACAATCCAAGTCCCGTTGCGGGATGTCACTCACTCATTCCTAAAGGGATCCTGCGGGCAAATCCCATACCGTAGTTGCCCTTGGTGATGCAGTAAACCACGTAATAGATAATCAAGATGTTGATACAGTATAGAACATTGGTTTGCAGTTCTCTAAACAGAATGCGTACAGCTTGAGCTGTACAATGGCCTGGAAGGATCGATCGGGGCTTGGCAACTTGCTACACTGGGAGGATGAAACAGCCAACGACCTTTGCAGTCACGTTTAAGAAGCCTCTCATGTCAGCGTGGTCCCGTGGCATGCTGTTTGACCTCTCCGTTTCACAAGTTTGTCCTCGTGCGCCCAGAGAGTTCTCATTGCTACAGATCGGAATTCACACAGTAAATAATAGTAAATATATATATATATACACTATATACTGTATACTTTAATTTTGCTGACATAGCTTTGCCGACGCCAAGTTTCAAGTGTCAAAGCTTTCGGTTTGTTGGGAACCTCCAATTAATGAAGCTCCATGTACTTTCCTGTTACCACCTGGCTATTTGGAGACACAAGCATATGAAACAAATGTTTTGGAGACACTAATCTTCAATCCATCAGGATTGTTGGTGATGCAAATGGAAAGCTGGGAGCCAAAGAATGATCATAAATCAACATGTGTTCATTCCTGTTGTGATTCCCAGAGATGATCCTGAAGCTGGAGTTGATGGTCTAGAGATTCCTGTGGACGGTGCCCTCAGATCAACTAATTTACCAAGTGCTCTCACTTGCTCGTAGTGACACAATCTGGATAGAGAAGAGCAGAATCATCTCGCTCGAGCCCTGAGAGGTTCTCTGTTTGTTTGCTTGCTTGCTTGCTTGCTACCTTCCAACATGCTGGGTTAGAAAACATGTCAATTCCCTTTATTTGAAACTAGGATCTCAGCTTTGGCACCCTGATGGAGGATGGCCTTGAGTCTCAGCGAAATCCGCCGATCCAATAGGGTGGTGGTCAGCCAAAAGACCCACAACAAGGTCAGCTAGGCAAAGATCCCCAAACCCAGTTTATACATGTTAAGCATTGCTTCAATCATTGTATATAGAGTAATCACGGTCACTATACTGACATATTGACGCCTATTGCATATAATTAATTTTCATAGTGCAGCCCATTGTAGAATCTTAGGCTATTCAAATAAGCTTAATACGAGGAGATATGTCCTTGGTGACCTGCTCCCTTAGCGATCCAGCAGCTTCTTGAAAAAGCCAAGTGACCCACATCTACCGGAACATCTGGATTCCAGGTCACCTTGCTACGGCTCTTCCGGAACATCCGGATCTTGCGGCTTCTGAAAATTGCCGGGCGGCTCTCGCGACTCAAGGAACTGTGACGGACACTCTATAGATGTCAATGTTGTGGAGGTGGACGCGTGGGCGGGGGGGTGGCAGATTTCTTCAGTCAAGGGCCAAGGGATTTTGGGGAGAGAGACAGAATGAGGCGGTGAGGCAGATATGCTGTCAAATATGTTTAATGTTGGATCTTGATTAGTAAATGGAGGATCCTCTAGAATTAACTACCACCAAAACAAATCTGGGTTCCTAGAAGGATTCCTTTTGTATATATTTGATTGTAGCATTAATTTTCCTTTATGAAGTTCTTTGTCATTAGGTATTCTTTGCAATCCTTTCATACTACTACATAAAGGATTGATTAAGGAATTGATGGCTGTGGGAAGCTGTGAGTTTTGAAGAAGAACTTGAGAAACCTATACTTATCAACTCTTATCAATACTCTCAGCAAGCCAACCATTGGCTTAGTAACATTAAGAATTACTAGTTTAGCTTTCTTCAGGAAAAACGTTGCACAATTGAGGACCCTTAAAACAAATTCATTATTGAGGATCACGGGCCTTCCAGGTCTACTACCTTGAAAATTTGTTTAGGAGCAATCTTTACATAAAGGATTGATTAGGGAATTGATGGTTTTGGGAAGCTATCAGTTTTGAAGAATAACATACTTATCAATACTCTCAGCAAGGCAACCATTGGCTTAGTAGTAATTACTATTTCTATTTTTTTAACGGAGATATACTTAACCCTAAATATGGTTTAGATAATTAAAAAGTAGGATCCCAAACAAACATAGCATAATAGAGGATCCTTAAAACAAACAGGGTGTCAATAATTATGTTTCAAAAAATTAGCATTATAGAGGGCCCTATTACTAATCAGCGTCCAACATTACACACGAAAACACATACACATGCATGTTGAACCACTTGGGAAAGCAGCTGTTGATTAAAGATAAGAGGGACACAGTGCTTCTTTAGCCCAAGTTCCACGGAGGCCGTGGCTGCAGACTTCAGTGGGCCGCTTTCCAAAGATCAAGACAGACACAGACACCTTCTAAATTGCTGCCATGGTGAAAGGTCTATTCGCCCTTGCTATTCTCACTCCCCTTCCTCTCGCTCTCCCTCTCTCTCGCTCTCTCTCTCTCTCTCTCTCTCTTCCTGTCTCACTCATTCCTCTCAGTTGGCACTCTCGCATTGATTATCCCTGTCTCTTCATTTGGCTTTCTGTTAAGATTGGATTTGGACATCTGGAGGATAATGTTTGTTTGCCAGGAAGATGATGAGAAACATATAATATACATAAATATCAATCGACTGTAAGATTGCCTCGCACATCATTTGCGTGTAGTGTAGCAGGAGATGTTTGTCGGCTTGGACTATGGCCTGGAATGGACTTCCGTGTACCTGGCTACCGCGATGACTGTTCTGAAACAGCCACTTTGGCGGATCAGACGGGAGAGGACCAACAGGGCGGCAGAGGAGTTAAATATCCTCAATCCTCCACGGTCGGCGAACAAGTTGCTTCAACTTATTCCAACAACCCACAAGAGATGCTTTGTTTGGCCAAATGCGGCCACCGCAGATGGGGCCACTCTCCCAACTTTGACTACTGTAATTGTCCATCAGTCGGCAATTCTCGTTTGAATATCGCGGAGCATTGAGTGGCATGGCTTGCATAGCATCTAAGGATTTGCGTCATTTCATTGCTTTGTCATTTCTCTGGCTGTGCCTGGTATGCTTTGGGGACGTTGGCGATGGAAAACACTTGGATAAAGGCCACTTGGTCAAGATGGTGGTTGAAGAGAGCTGTATAAGATCATTCATTGTATGTGTCCAGTTGCAAACATATTATGAATAATATATAAATATGGAAATGCATGCCATGCAATTGAATCCAGAAGGCAGAGTGTCGAACAAGTTAACGTGCTTTACTAGCTCTTTGCCATGCCAATTTGTTTTACCCGAAGCGAGAGCTTGCATCCATTCTATTGATGGACAACAAGGTCGGCCAGTGGACTACTGTTCATATGGTTTTGAACCGGATGTCACTGTCACCCACAGCCAAATCGCAGAACGTCCAGATCTGTGGAAATCTATCCATAAGTGAGACCCAAACATGGCACCTTTTCCTTAGTCAGAGTCCTGCGAGCCGGAGGCAAGCCACACGTCTAAATCATCCTGAATCTGTGTGTAAATCATTATATAATACATTATATAAGAATCCTATACTGTCTCAGAGAAGGTTTACAGAAGCCCCGACAGCATCCGCCTATGTGGTGGAAGTCATGATGTTCCTTCTACTCCAGCATATCTCCTTTCAGGTTGGTAATCAATGATCAATAGAATAATAACATATTCCACTGGCTTTGTACAATGTCAGCGATGTTTGGCAGATAGGGAGGAAAGACTGCGATTGCGTCAGAGAACTTAAATTGAACTAATCTCACACTCACACATGCCATACGGTTGACTAGTTCTCGAATGGTGATCTTTGACGATGGCTCTATGGTGCCTTTCCCGTGTCTGGAACGGTGTCAGCCACGATCAGGCTATTCAAGCAAGCTCGGGCTCGGACACGGATATTATGTACATGTATGTGACCTCCTTGCATTGGCTTCTTAGCAAAACTGCATGCCATAGGCACGGGTCGATGCGGTTTGGAAAGGTGCAAATGTGAGTCCCAATTTCGCAGCAGTCAATTGTACACCAGTCAAATGATTGGTGCCCGGAAAAGAAGGAGACACAATTTGATCAAGGAATCTGGGACCACCTGACACATGATTCCACCTGGGTTTGGTGATCCCCAGTGGGACAGGATGTTCTTCGTTCCAGAGAGATTTGCAGTCGTTTCTGACGTTTGGATCCTTTGTGGTTTGAGTATTGTTACCACTTAACAAGAAATTTGCAGGCCCTTTAAACAAGGAAAAGCGGATTTGGGCCATCTCCTGATCTGAAAGGACAAGCTTCCCTTGCACCATGGACAATCCCTAGCTGAGTTTTGACGGGTATGCGGTATGCGAGGATGTTTTAGGTTTGTAGGCTGCAAGGCCTAGATCCCCACATCCCTTCCGCTCTAGTTCCCTGTCTCTTTCCGCAAAAAAAGCATTGGTGTGCCCAAGTTGACCCATTAATGTGCTCATCTCACATCATCTCACCATATAGGTTTGATCTGGGTGGACAGCCCAGGGTTTCAACATGCAGAGCTGGACCAATCACTGACAGGTAGTCTTCATGGCACAAGGCTTTTTCAATCTTTACAACACACACACACATATATATATATACAGCAGGCAGGTCTGTAGTTGTAGGCAATTGAGGGAAGACATGGGTAGTTGGGGTCGACTGGGTAGTCAGTTGAGCTTTTCAAACAACATTCCAACTCTACCTTTTTGACATGTCATAAAACATCTAGATAGGGAGAGAAAGCCCCTAGATCCTTGTCTTCGACATGCCCTGTATCCTCCAGACTATGGAATTTGGAGAGAGCAATTTCCTGTACCACCCTGAAGTACCACTGGTGCGGAGCAGTTTCTGGTCGCCCCTCAGATTCTATTTTGAAGGCTCCCTTTCTGGCCTCAATAGGTTTCTTACCTCAGCATCCATGTATTTACCTCCTTCAAGTGCACAGTACAAGTAAATATAACATTTTAAGAAACAACAACTAGACGACGGTTGGCCGGAGAGCGAGACATGTAATTGTCCAGCACTGTCGAAAAGATGTATAGAAAGAGAGAAAGAGAGGGTGGATGTGAAGGAGTGACAGTGTGATGTGCAGGTGCGATATAGATCTGTAGATGTATGGAGGTGGAGAGGTAGATCTGTGGATGTGAGCGTGCGAAGATGTAAATGCGCAGAGACGAGAGAAAAGATATGTAGAAAGAAAGAAAGAAAGACAGGACAGATGTGAAGGAGCGACAGTGTGGATGTACAGATGTGATATAGATGTGCAGATGTGTGGGTGTGGCGAGGTGGAGAGGTAGATCTGCGGATGTGAGCGTGTGAAGATGTAAATGTAGAGAGGTGAGGGGGTGTAGACGTATATGCGTCGATGCAACGGCAATGCAACGTCAACCTTAGTCGTGCAAGTACAACGCTGAAGAGGTTCAACTAGAACTGAAGAACGTACATTTCACACTGAAGTTTCCACGAACAGGGCGACCTGAGAGTAAACGACGTCACGATCATGACAAGCGACTCGTGTATTCCAAGCGAACATCGTTTGTCATGAAGGTGAAGTACACACATACTAACGTCACGATGACTCTTTTGTGGCAGCCACTTATGAGTAAGCAAAGTAGCTAAATTTTGTCAACCTCTCAAGAGAGCCGGGTGGTTGGGAGACATGACTCAGCTGCAGGGGCGCGAGAGATGACTCAGCCGCGAGAGATGACTCAGCCGCGTACTCAAGTTGTACTACCAAGTCGTCAGTTCTCAGCTTCCAGCTCCACAGCTTGCTCCGCGTACTAAAGTTGTACTACAAAGTCGCTAGTTCTCGTCTTCCAGCTCCCCAGATACCCCGCGTACTAAAGTTGTACTACAACTTCGCCAGTTCTCATCTTCCAGCTCCCCATGTACTACAAAGTCGCCAGTTCTCAGCTTCCAGCTCCACAGATTGCTCCGCGTAATAAAGTTGTACTAGAAAGTCGCCAGTTCTCATCTTCCAGCTCGCCAGATACTCCGCGTACTAAAGTTACTACAAAGTCGCCAGTTCTCAGCTTCCAGCTCCACAGATTGCTCCGCGTACTAAAGTTGTACTACAAAGTCGCCAGTTCTCATCTTCCAGCTCCCCAGATACTCCGCGTA